TTACAATTATGTTGCTCTTCTTGCGTGTTTCAAGACAGTAAAATTATTTTTCAATGCCTCCAAGCACTGACGTTGCGTGCGAAACTCGTGAGGCTCAGGCGGTGCGCCGTCTTCGTTGCTGGTAGCCGTCCCCCGCGGCGTATCTTCGTATGACCGAAGACAAAGTTGCTCGCAGCGGCCAAGAAGCTGACGCTTCAATTCAGGGTTCATTTTGCGCGCAGTTCGCACAGAACACAGAAGCTACCAGGCGTTTCTATAGGAATTGAAATTAGAAGGAAGGGGGGGGGGGTATACATTTTTAAGGGGGGGGGGGGGGGAGAAGGGGGGCATTAAGAATAGAGGAGTCGTAGCGAATTAAGGGAGTACCTTCAGAAAAACAAATAGTGTGTGCGTGTGGGGGGGGGGGGGGGGGAGGGGGTACACCCACCCTAGGGGATGTAAAAGGAAACCACTGGAAGCTACAAAAGGTTGCAATACGCACACAAGACGCACCGGGAATCGGTACGCTGCGTGCGTCGTTCAACCCTTAGACTCCGCAGTCAAGTCAATCCAAGAGCGAGGAACGGGGCGTACTTCTCCGGGCGCGCGAAGCGAAAGAGCGGAGGTTAAATAGACTCCGACTAAATTAGTCCTGTAACATAATAATTGCTGAATTCTTTTTTTTTTTCGCGGAAGATTGGTTTTGTAAAATGCTTGTCCCAATTAGGCTGTTGAAAAAAAACACCTTTCTTTTTCTTTTCAGTTAACCTGAAACGCGATAGCGTTATCGGGCCCGTTTGCAAAGCCTTCTCATATAATCCTTCGCTCGTTCCCAAGCCTTGCAAGCGTGTGTGCGTGGCATAGTCGGTAGCGTCACTTGTCTATGAAGAATCACGTGTCACGTAACGTCACACAGACACGTGACGCCACCGTGACGTCATGTGACGTTACACGTGAGCGTTGTGGGTTAGAAATACCACTTAAGGCCACATGGCCTGACGTCACACGCTTGACGTCACGAGTGGGTGCTACATCATGAACCTATCAACTCGCTAAATTTTCCCACCAAATTTTTCCGCTAAACTTGGCGGGAAAAAGTTTCCGCTATATCTGGAGGAAAACGTTTTCGCTAAAATTGGCGGGACAAATTTCCACTAACTTTAGAGGAAACTTCTTGCGCCAAGTCTAGCGGAAATATTTCCCGCCAATTTGGCGGGTCGATACGGTCATAACGCCACAGCCACGTGGGACGTTAAAGTGGCTTTGACGTCATCACCCAATCGACCAACTAAATTTGGCGGAAGAATTTTCCGCTAATTTTAGTAGAAAAGTATTCCGCCAACTTCAGGGTGATCAATTTTCCGCCAAATATGACGCCGCCGGATTTTCTGCGGCACGAGCTCCTTGAAGGGATATTACAACAAAATTTCGTCGCTTCTTTCTTATCCTATTCCTGTTCAACGGAGCAGTATCACATCACGTACACCAATTTCTTGTTAAAAAAGTCACGAAAAGGAATTTTAAAACGGAATGAACGATTAGCAATGAGCACCTAGTGGATGCCGGTAAAGTTTCCTTTGGAATGCCCGTCAAGGAACCTTTACAAGTAGTGACAATGCCTGTCTCGCCTCCGGCCACCATGAGAGAAGTGACGGAAAAACCCCCTTTTCACCGGGACTCTCTCTTGTGTGTCCTATAGTCCGTCTACAAGATTATAGAGCTGAAGTGGCCAGGCTGACCCGGCCTAGGAGTCACAAACAAAACCACGAAGGTTACAAGATCAACGGAAAAAAGGGGGGGGGGGGGGGGGGGGCGTTGACTTTTGCTTAGAGTAATAAACAAAACTCGAATCATTTTCAATCTATCCGATTCAAAAGCTGTCTAACTGTACGTAAGGTCGCCAGTAGCATAAGACTACCAAACCGCATCTTGTCTTTCAATTTAAAACGCGTTCCATTTCGTTTCGAGGGAAAGTGCTCGTGTGACCGGTAGGTAGGCGGGGGAGAGCGCGCGTGTGTGTGTCTGTGTGTGGGGGGGGGGGGGGGGGCAGCGAGCCTCACTTAAACACTCCAAGATCCGCATGCGGCTCGCGAGACGCAGCTTGGCCACCTCTGTTATAGAGGATTGACCAGTCAGTCAAAATTCGTACAAAAGTAGCTTTGAGATCAGTTGCGGTGGCGCTATCGCTGGCGTGCTTCGGCCACTTCGGTGGCTGGTTGACTTCAGTGTCACCGCACATTCACTCAGCCCGAGACAATCTACGTCACGATTGCGCCGAATGTCACGTGCTCTTCAATGGCTGTTTTCGAAGCGCTTGCCAGAGGGGCCGTTTATAACTAAAAATACAGCCATCTGGCTCAAAATACAAACGTGGGATTGCATGATCCGAGAAGCAGCCGCTACTATCCTGCCCCTTGACAAATTCAATAATATTCAATTCGAATAATCAACAACTTTTATAATATAAAATTTTGATTGCACAGAAAGAAAGAAAGGCAAAATCACGTGCAGCCCGGAAAAAGAACATGGAGATGCTTGTGTGGTTCCTGACAACCAGCGGAAATACTATGTAGCTATACATTTGAAAAAAAAATGTACACACACGTGCATGCACACACACACACAGACACATACACACACACACAGAGAAAACAATGGAACTCAGAAAGAAAGCAACACATCATACATAAAACAGAATGTAAAACAATTTCAGAAATCCCTGTTTAGACACCACGATCTAAACTTTTTTTCTAAAAGCGCTAAGTAACTGGAATTTTGAGAGTTCATTGAGAAACAAATTATAGTAATGAGGAATCTAAAAAGACCGTACTGTTTCTCTTTCACTTATACACCTACGATAACCAAAGTGTGAGGCCCTGCGCGCCCGTCTGTCATAGCTCAGCTTCTAAATTTGACGAAAGCGTTTCACTCCTGCTAAATATAACGGGAACCTTTATTTTCTGTTTGGTTATGCACCAGCTTAATTTCCCCGCTAAATTCAGTGAGTAAACCTGAACTGTTGTATATAGTTGTACACTAATTCCCTGCCCTGCTGAAATTAGTAGACGCAGTTTTTGTTAAAATTTAGCACAAAAACCGCTAAATTTAGGGAAGAACTGCTGCATGATACACCAATTCAATTTAGGAAAAATTGGCAAGGACTTGGCGCGAAAATGATGCCGCTTTGAGGCACGCCGAAAGCAGTGAGCTAGATCGACGCCTGAAGAAAATCAACGAAGCCAGAGTGGGGGGTAATGGCCTTACTGTAAATGAAATTACTTGAATCCAAAGTACTTGTACAATTAGTAATATAATTAATTACTTTTATTGGCTGGCAATCTAGAAATGTAATGAATTCTTTCAAGGCAGTCATCTTAAGAGCATAACTGCTTTCGAAATTAGATTTACGAAGCCCATCTGAGTGCAAAATGTTTGACGGAATACTTGGGTGCGAGACAAACACACAGAGGCGGGGTCGGTAGGGGAAGCGGATAAAGAAAAGCTTTCCAGTAAAGACTTAGCTGGAAGGCCACGATTCACGAAACTCTAGACAAGACGGATTCACGGCGCCACGTCATCGGGGACGGTACGAGGCTACAATCCGGGGGCACGCCACTAAGGTGACCTAATCTTAAACTATGAGACGAGAAGTGAGTAGTAATCTCAAATCCCTTGAACGGGATTCAGAACTTTTTGTTAGTAGCCTTGTATTTAACAAATAATTATTTTTTTTTATTTTTTTTTTTTTTTTTTTGTAATTGGAAGCGGCGAAGCAAGTGCAGTGCAGAGTAGTGACTATTCTTGCTTCGCCCGCGGTATTCCTCTCTGCCCTTTCTTCTGCCATCACCTTGTGGTTTTTTATTGAGAATAACGTACAGACATTGGCGCATGTTCATTGGGCAAAGACACATTTGAGAAGGCGCCCACTACCTTTCTTTTTTTTTTTTCTTGCGGCGTTTCTGCCCAGGACACATTGGGCCCGGTGCATGACAACGCGAGATAACTTGCACTCTTCTTGTGTTTTGGAATAATATTGTTTAGGAATAATGTCCAGGAATGCGTCGACCAGTGTTGATGGGAGAAAAAGGTTAGACAGCAACCGAGGAAGAAGTTTTGGGCGTTTTCCCAGTCTTATGTAAAATGGGTTCGGGAACGATGAATCCCCCGTGGTAAAGACAACATAAGAATCAGTTTAGCACATCTCACCACGGTCGTTGCGACTCCATGTAAAACGAGCTGCGGTGTCCCGACAAACAGAAATGGACAACTTCTTCAAATTCAGGAGGGCGGAATCGCATCAGCCATTAACCGATCAACTTCACCGTTGAACAGCATACCGGTACTGGTTTCAGTAGTACTTAACGAACAATATGTTCATTATCTTTAACACTACTGTCGTGACTTCGTATCTCAAAAGAGAAAACATTTCAAATGCTCATATCGAGGCGCATATTTGACAGCAGCGGTGCAACACGAATAATATTTTAGAATAACTGTAAGTAGAACTGGCCTGTTGGAATTGAAAAGTAATTTCGAAAAAATTACATTACTTTTCAGAAATAATTCTAATGTAATGTATTTTATTTTAGTCTGCGGTAATTGGTAAAATAATTCAATTATCTTTGTATATTTTGTGACTAAATTCATTAGTAATGTAATTTAATTACTGTTGAAAAGTAGCTGTGCTATCTCTGAACGCATCCCAATGTTATCGCATTACATAATCTTGGAAGCAGCCAAAAACAAAAGGCGTTGCTTCCTTTCACTGTGAGTGCATGCCATTGGGTTGTGGTCCTGCTCAGCATCCTCACTGACTGGAGTGAATAAAAGACAAAACTATTGATTGGTGTTTTACATGCATCGCAATTAAGTATGCGTGTAGGAACTTCTGAGAGTGTAGTTCAACTTCTTAACATATTGCAGTTTTGCGTTTATTGCCGAATTCTCTCAACCTGGTTCACCTCTCGGACAGGTAAACAGCTTCCACCCTGATTTCGAACTGCCGTTTTGTATCCTTTCAGGTGGGAAGTTTACGAAGACATTTTGCTATCCTTTTGCATACACTAATGCAAAGTGTGCCGTTGTGTTGATGAATCATTGGAACTTTGGTAAGCACTCAGTATCCGCACCGAGCATGTATTTCGTAGGAGTTAATTATTATTCAATGTAGTCTGGTTAGTTCGTTACCTTTTTCTTTTTATTGTTCTTCTAAAATTAACAAACACTCCCATATTATAGCAGCTTATTCAAAAACAGGAGCACAGCTACCCCGCCGTCGTCACCGGTCACACTTTTTTATGCCTACCCTTCAGTGAGTCAGTAAATGCTTTCTTAGTGGGTAGGTAACGCCATCTCTCGACTAATCTTGGGCTCATTGCCCACCCCTGCCCATTTACACCTGGATGAGCATCGCACCGGCGTGCGGTCGTGCATCACGTCTGTGTGATGCACGTTTAAGACTCCAGGCGTATAGCGCTGGTAAAGTTTATCATCTACAGAACGCTGCCTAAACATCTAACTAATTTTATTTTTGCCTTTATAGGGATGGTGAACCGAAATTTGGATTTAAAAAAAAAACAATGCTGGAGATGTAGGCGGGACGCTACAATCCCTACAACACTACTAGTAAGGCGATATCTCAAATGGACGGCCGTATTTTTGCAAAAGAAGTCGAGATTGAACCAGGCCGACGAGGCGCGTGACGTCAGGATACCTAGTTTCCTCCTCTCTTTGCTTCGCTCCCTGAAGGCCGCGAGGCGGAGTAGACGCGAGGCCGTTCCCTTTCCTTCTCGGAGAAACATAAAGTCAATATTCCTGCTAAATGCGCCTCTTTTTTTTTTTTTTTTTAAATTTAGTTATTTGTTTGAGATATCGCTGTATGAGTGATGTTTTGGTGTTTGTAGCATCCCATTGCATGCTTTTTTTCGCGTGTTTTGGGTAATCCAGATTTCGGTTCAGCATCCCTTTAACACTAGGAAAAGCGAAAATCTGTCCTCTCAATTAATTCTGAGTCATTAGAAAGAAAAAAAGAAAGAGTGCGAGGAAGACAGAAAATATTTTTATTGTTGAACATACAAAATTTCCGGCGTTCGTTTACTAAGACCGTACGAGCGACTGTTTCGTGATATTAACCATCTAAAGAGCGTATTTAAACGTAGATTAAAAAAAAAATACAATATAGGACAAAAAGCAGACACGAACAAAGCTCTGTCTCTCCTTTAAACAAAGGTGTTTCGTTTTCCTCTTTGCGTTACATTAAATTTGCTTTGAACCTATTTTCATAGGGAAAATGTTGATTTTTATGGCCTGATGTGAATGAAACACGAGGCATCCAAGCTAAAATATTTTATTTTTGATTTTGAAGCGAGAAACTTTGCAACTTGTTGTATAATGTTTTTTTTTACTAAATTGTTTTTTTTTTTTTAATTTTATTTAAGCTGCCAAAAACCAGTGCAGAGAGGAGACCCGAAATCAAGAGGATGCAGGTGAGAAAATAACGGCCACTACTGGTAAAGTGGGGATATCTTATTTATCTTTTCCTGGAACTTGCCTCCAACGTCACTGTGCGATACAAAAACGATATAAGAAAACACGTAAACCGAAGGCAGTTTAAGCAAAAACGTTTTTGTATTGTGCGGAAGGTATCCGAGGCCTGGTGAAGCTCCTAAGTATATGACCTGTGAGACTGACCCAAAATCAAAAATCCGCCTTCGATCCTTCGGAAGTAAAAACCACTGGAACTCACAATATGAGACAAAACTGTTTTCAACTGGCGATCTACTCGGGTTACATCAATATTTGTTATGTCTACGGAGGGCCCGAAACACGCTCTTTATATGTGTTACAAATGACTCAGCTGTTTAAAATATCCTTTGTGGGACGTTTATGTTAATATTATGCGAAAACCAAAAAGTACCAATTTGAAAATCGATTTTCTCGAAAAACCTATTTTTTATTTTATTTTTTTTTTAATGTAGATATGGTAGTTGTCTACTCGAAAATCAAGTCGAGGAAGTGTGTATTTTGTTTGTATGTTTTATATTTAAGCCTCAATATCGGAAAAAGACGTCTTCGTTTTGCAAGACCTAAGTCAGACATAGCGACCCGTGCGTTTCATATGAATTGTGAAAAAGTTTTCTTGAATTTTTGTCTGCGTCTTGTAATCAACTCTAAACGTATTTTGTGGTATTGAATGGTTATTTATGTTTTGATAAGAGCGGGAAATCACGAGAAACATATCTAACCAAATCAAAAGGCCTAGTAGACCTTCAATATCGAGGAGGCACAGACGTTGTATTGTTTTGATTTATAAACCTCTCATTGTAAACCAACATGACTAGTTATTAGCTATCATATGACTAAGACATAGAAAGTCACCACATCATTGATACAGTATATACAATTCTTCCCGAAACCAAACGCTAGGGTTTGTTCACCGTACATCGCACAGATCACCAGGGAAGATCCCTTCACTTCCGTAATACACAAAAGTGATGACAAAGAAACGATCCGAAACACGAGGAGAAAGTGACAGGGAGAGGGGTAGGGGATAAAAATAAATAAATAAAAATAAAATCACCCAACTCCGATCTTAACGAAAATTGCGTTAAAAAATAGATTTACGTTCAAGCGGTGGCAAGGCGATATGCCCACGCCTGGTGGAGAACCAGACAAAAAAGTTGACGACACGTAAAGGTAAAACAAAGAAACAATGATTTCATAAAGACGAGAAATCTCAGCCGCGCGTGGCAAGAACAAAAACCAACTCCTCCGGGCATTTCCTAAACGGGACACAACCGAATGTGCGCGAACACGCTCTCTACAGCATCGTCAGGCCGCTACGCCATGACGAAATTAACCCAACAACTAAACAATGCTAACAAACAGTTAGTCATAAAACACACACACACAAAAAAAGAAAACGTTCAGCAAAACCGCACTTGAGCAACGAAGTTCAGCGGGGCGAAAAAAAACACATGAAATAAAAAAAAAAAAAAAGTCTTAACTGACCGACGCCGAGTCCAGTCCCACGACACTGAAGCTTCGCAGGATGACGGTGTCCAGATGATGCTCAAATCTGTTCTTCACTCTATAACGAACATCCACGACGGCTGTGCGGAAGAGTGGCTGTGCGGAACAAAGTGAAGAATAGAGTCGAGCAGTGATGCGCGAGAAGGTAACCGAGACGTAACATGCCTCGAGCTTCATATCGGGAGAGGAGCTTTCGAGGTAGTTACTGCAGTTACTCAAACTTTCTCTTTCTCCTTCCTTTTTTAAAAAGAACACGTCAGCCGGCGCTAACTTTTCATCTCGAGAGAAGGCCACTCTTCACAAACGGTTATAGTTGGCAAGGTGGCTGACTTCGACCCAACTAGTCTTCGGGCAGAATAAACACAAGTATATTTACCAACACGCTCGTCTTTAATGTCAGTCTCCGAGCTTTGCTGTTTCCAAAAGAGATAACCCTTCGGTGCTATCGGATCTCCGCGGAGAGAGATGTTCGCCGCGTCAACTACACATTCGTACCATTTCACTCCCCGTGACACAGCGTGCGCTGCTTGCTTTACTGGCACGGGCCGTCCTATCTAACACAACGAGGGTGAAAGGTCGTGGTCATCTGCTGGCTCCGAAAGGGCGGGACGTTCACATAGGCCAATGAAGGCCCCGAACCAATACGACGCCTGCGGATTTCTACGCATTAAAAATTTACGACGCCTGCTGGTCTGTTTAGAAATGTTGCTTTCTCTTTTGAACACCTCCAATGTAGCTTGCCGCGTATAATAAAATTTAAATTATCAATAAAAAAACAGGGTGGAACTACTCTATTTCATTTTTATGTGGGAACGTTGAAAAAATGTAAAACATATTTCACCGTTTGTGAAGGCGCGCAATTCGCCAGTCCATTTAGAGCCGTAAAAGCATGTTTTTGTACGATATTAATGCTTAAATATAGAACACACAAACAATATACACATATTCTCGATTTGCTTTTCGTGCAGACAACTATCATATCTACATTTTAACAAAAAATCGAAAAATCAAAAATGCTTTTTTTGAGAAAATTGATTTCAAAAATGGTACTCTTTGGTTCTCGCATAATATTAACGTAAACGTCCCGCAAAGGATATTTCATACAGACGCGTCATTTTATAATATATATACAGAGCGTGTTTTGGGCTCTCTGTGGACATAAAAATTATTAATGCAACCTAAGTAGATCGCCAGTAATTAATTTTCAAAGTTCGTCAACAAATGACGGAGGGGGCGTTTTTGACATTTTTACAGAAAAAAAAAACAAGAAGCCTAAAATTGTTTCATTGTATTAGAGCCCTTTGAATGTGTTCACAGAGTGCTTGAAAAAAGTTAATCTAATGTGGACTCAAAATCCACGGCGGGAGATCGAGCGAAACATCCGACCCACGACGGATGTGAAAAACACTGCTTTCCGCCGCGGCCTCTTTTAAAATGTGTAAGCCGAGAACAAAAAATCGGACGAACTTGCGGTTTGTGGATACTGCCTTTTTAGAGACGACGCCATAACATATATTTTTTTTTCAGCGAAATTAAAAATTCGACCATTTTTGCCTGCACGATTTGAGATGAAATCACGCATATGTATATATATATCTATATATATATATCTATATATATATATATATATATATGTGTGTGTGTGTGTGTGTATGTCTATGTGTGTGTGTGTGTGTGTGTATGTGTGTGTGTATATAAATTTAAAAACCTTTTTAATTTTTTGGCAAATTTTTTACACATGGCTTTCATTTGCATGATTCGAAATGAAATCTCCTAATGGTTTCTTAAATTTGGCCATCATGGAAGCTAGGTATGGATGAATGAAATGCATGCCCATTTTCAACACAGTAAATCGACGTGAATATGCATCTATGCGTTGTACTTATGAAACCGATGTCAAAAGAAACATTTGTTCTTGTAATTTGTCTGCCTTGAATTGCAGAATAATACACAAGTCAAGGCAATGTCTTTGTGTCGGTTTACGAGGCAATAACAAAGACGGTTACCCACGCACGTGTTGTTTTCTTTGAATGAGTTTGAATCGAAATACATTCGTTTATGTGTTCCTTGAAATATTAATATCATTTGAAAATCACAGATTTCTGTGAAGCGTCACGAAGCAGTAGATGCAGAAAAGGAGCCTCAAACACGTCGTTCAGCAATGGTGAAAGAATGGCCCGTTGGTACATGACTTATTTGGACAAAATACTCCGCAAGACGGGGACAGTCAAAAACGATCTGTTTTTGATTCGTAATTAAGAGGCGGCCATCCAGTGCTTGTCTGCAGATGTTTTCAACTCGGGCGGATTCTCCATCGATGTAGAGGACTTGTTCTATTGCATAGGGCACGACGAATTGTTCCCTGTGTTTAAGGCAGTGCATAGAGCGTAACGACGAGATCGCGTCTAGGAACTCCAGCGGGCTTAGTGTGGACTTATTTATATAACTGCTCTCAAGTTACATGGATTCTACCTTTGTGTCTTTTGAAAGTGACTTGTATGTTCAAAAGCATGGGATCTGTATTGGGTCACAAGTCGTCCCCCATACTATGCGACATTTTTTTCGAGCGATTTGGCCGGGAAGTGTTCACCAGTCTAAAAGAAAAAGGGGATGTTACGATACTAATATACGTGGATGACTTCCTTCTGCTGGTACCGCAGCCCACTGTGTTGGATGACAACCTCATTCAAAAAGTGCTGGTTATTTTCAGTATGAATTCGCGTGGACTAGCGTTTACTCGTGAAACAGTGGCGTCAGGAAAGCTGCAATTCCTAGATTTCAGTTTAGATTTTCAAGAAGAGCACGTGTGCTGGGAGTACAGACCACACTCAAAGAAAACTGTCTTGCCCTTTAATTCAGCACACTCTAAGCTGGTTATTGCCAAGTCGTGGCAGCACGCCGTAGAAAAGTAGTTTTATTAACCAGGTAGAACGTCTAAAATCGTCGGGTTACCCTGATCATTTTCTTCAAGAGGTGGCTGAAACACTTGTTTCCAAGAGGAAAAAGGAAGAATTGGAAGCACAGGAGCCCAGGAGGAGGCTGAGGCCCGCTGTTTTAGCCAATATCCACAAGGTCTAACACAACTTAAAAAAAGTGGCGGCACACTTTGATTTGCCGGTTGTGTTTCCGACCCCGGAAAAGCTGTCCAGCCTATGCAATAAAATTAACAACAAACAAGACGGAAGTGACGTTTGCAGAAAGAAACACTCTAGAAAATTCGTGGAATGCGCATCTTCGGTCGTATACGAAATTCCAATGACGTGCGAGAAAGGATATGTGGGCCAAACGGGCAGATGCGTTAATGAAAGCGTAAGAGAGCACGCGCTATCTGCAAGGAATTAACCCCTCGGGCAATTTAGCTATTCATTGCGAAAGACGCCTTTGCGCCCCGGAACTGGAAAGAAACAAAAATTTTGGGAAACCTGAGAGGTAAAATTTTGAGAGATATGTTCGAGTCATTTAACATTATAATGCAGGGGGATGACAAATGCATAAGTGCCCCCTCAGTGCATCTCACAGACAAGGAATCTGAATTCTTGCTTCAGAACCTCGATTGGGTGTATAAATAGTGTGTTGTTTCAATAAACATTCAGTTGAAAGTAGCGCTTCGTACTGTCTTACTTGCTCTGTCCCATTCTTGCGTCGCATTTTGTCAAAATACGTCGTCAGCCCCAAGAAGTCTCAGAGAAAGTCAGCTACAAGAAAATAAAAATTAACTAGCGTGAAATAACTTGTTTAAAAAAGATACACTAAAAATACACTATTTGGAATGCTATAAAAATTTACGCACCTTGCAAACATTAAAGCACTGGGCTTATCAAAAAGGAAGGCGTGAGTATATACATAATGATATTAGTCAACGGTTTAGGCTCTTGGCATAGTTCCTTGAAAACAGACTGCAGTGGCTGTAGATGTCGCCCATACACAGCCATGCATTGCATGATAGAACTGAGAAAATTGAAGTAACCTTAGAATATGAGAAAATCGAAGTTGTCCCTCGAGCCTCCTTTCAGATGCAAATGCTTAAAACAAAGCCTATATCCTTGACACTATGTTGCGTACCTCAGGTAATCCCGGCTGCCTTTCTCGCTCTTTCTACATTTTCTGGTAGTTTCCACCAAAGGATGCCACCATTCTGATTCTTAAAAAGCCAATCAATTTATTTATAATCGAATACAATAGTCTTTTGTTTTTGGTTTGTCTCTCGCTCATTATTATTAGAAAAACCTAAAATATGATAAAAGGATAATTTAACATAATTTTATTTTGATGGCTTTGAAACAAAATTTGTAATGGGAGTGTGCCATTAGCGAAGAAAATTAACTGCAAACAATCGCTGAACAGTTCAAACTTGATTGGTTAGTGTTTTATTTGTATGTGCATTCCACGGGATATAAAATAACTTCCAAAGATGGCGTGAAATTATTCTGGTGTTAGGTCTCATTCATAATAGACGTGGCTATGAAATGTCTAGGAAGGTCTCTTATCTTCTTCATCTCTGGGTAAATTTTAGAATATATTACAAATATAATCTTGTTAAATGATTTTTCAGGTAAACAAAGACCCTGCGAAACAGCCTGCGAAATGTGGGTGAGGCATGAAAATCTAAACGAAACTTCTCTAAGCGAGAACTGCACCAAATACTACAAACAGTTTTGCGGTGAAAGCAAAATATTTCTCTACGACAAGCCAATTTGTGATCAAGTCGAAAAATTATCCATTAACATAACTAACTCTAATTCAAAGGATGAATAAAAACTGACCCTCAAATGCTAAATTTCATTTTGTTTTGAATCAGTGTTACAAAAAGCGTCCCAAAACACTCTAAAAAATGAGTGCGCGTCTACTTATCCGCTAAACACTCAATGAGCCAATCTCTGCGATGTACAAAATCAGCTCAGCGAATGATGATGGGGAACATCCGTGTAGATCCAAAAATGAAGTCTGCGCAATGCAAAGCGTAATGCAAAAGCACAAACTTAATTTTGAGCAAACAATCCGCCTCATCATTTGCTCAGCTGACTTCGTAGATCACAAAGATTGGCTCTTCGAGTGTTTTGCGAGTAAATAGACACATAGTCATTTTTAAGAAAATAGTTTCACAAAAACAGCGCTTAAAGAAGTGCTAAAGTACAAGGGGCGGCAGTTCATCAGCGATTTATCTTTATGTGTTATGCAAAGAGAAAGGTCAGCTTCCTGAACTAAACACGTTTTTCCTATAAAGCTAGTAGAAGTATTAGGCACTGGAGAAAATAAGGCCATCTGCGTGAAGTCCTCGTTTCTAGGAACTTTTGTTCACTTTCCGCCGATTGAAAAGCACGGCAAAAAAAGCTGAAGCATCCACCTCGTCTCGACACACTGCCATCTCATTCCGCACAATACGGACCTTTAATGCTGTTGGCAATGTTAACCATGGCAACGAAGCCTCGCCTGAATATGCGCACACGCGAACGAAGAGTGTGAAGCCAGCAACAACGGACACCATTTCTCGAATACCGTCGTGTTTGTAACTACACTCCCTTCATCATTAAGCTGAGACTGCAGTCAAAGCTACAAGCGCAAGCTAACCTGCGCTCCGAGTCGTGCTTTTCTAGCGCGAGCGCTCGTTCTGCGGAAGAACGCTTCAACGCAGCGACCTCGAGCTCTCGTGATTATGACATTGGCTACAGTCCACCGTGCTGCAGTCTCAGCTTAAGTACAGTGTTGCTTAGGCGTGAACGGTGTATTGGGGAGGAGATCGAACAGACACGCTACTAACGCTACTAGCGGTGCGCTTCAACTGCGAAAGCAACAAACCGCTTTTTTTTATTTTTTATTTTTTTTTTTTGTTCCGAGAAAGCGAAGATTCGAAGGCCGATCCTCGTGCGACTAAAGCACTGGTCAGAGCGAAGCGCGCGTGCCCAGAACGTGTGGTTCAATTTCTTTATTATGCTCTGTTATTTTTCGTCTCACCTTAGTATGGACTACTGTTAGCCGCGCGTGCTAAGAGCGCGAGCTAGTCGCTTTCAATGAAGCCATGGCGGCTGCACGAGCGCTCGTTCAGCAAGTGCTCTATACTTCGGTTCACCTTATCTGCGAGCGAAGGCAAAGCTAAAAGCGCGAGAGCAGCGCTTTCTGCGTTTCTGCCCAGCTCGCGCGCTCGAGCAAAGCCTGAACGCGCGGAGCTTTCGTGCTCGCGCTTCCAGCTTTGCCTTCGCTCGCACATAAGGTGAAACGAAGTATAGCCAAGGCTGTCAAGGTCGGCCGCTCGCGCTAGCACAACCTTCGCGGTTAGTCCATGCTAGGGTGAGACCACCGTGGGTGAGACGAAGTATAGTAAACACCGGGCTGGTGGGGAAAACAAGCTAAAAAAAGAGGTACCTATATATATAGTTCCATCTCCTTCCCATATTACAAAACCGGGCATCAGTATGGCGGTCTATTCTGAGAGCGCGAAGCTGTCGCTTGCCGAAGCCTTTGCAGTTCCGACGTGGCATGGCACAAGCTCCAGTCGGAAATTATACGCTATTTTTCCCTAGCGCAGTGAAGCGAGGAGTGACTGTGCGTGAGGAAGCCTATACTCGCGGTTTCACCTTGTGTTGTACCGCAGGAAAGGCTACAAGCGCGAGTTCCTTGTTCTAGGGCACATCTCGGCGGCAGAAGCTCTCGTACGCCAAGGGCAGCTGCCAACGCTATGAGCTCGTGCTTCTAGCCTTCGCTGCAGTACAGCATAAGGTGAAACGGAGTATAGTTTGGAGCTCCAGGTTTGCGTTTCCGCGTTGACTCGTCCATTCCTCCGCTCAGCTCAATCCGCGCGATCCCTCCGCATTGAGCTGGCTGTCCATCTCACGTGTCGGCATCGCAGTTGACCTAATCAGTGCAATGGAGGCGTAGCGTGGAGAATCGACTTCAAAGACGCACTTCGCCGGGTTAGTTTCGATTTGAAGCCGTGTATAAGGATCACATTTCTAGCCTCGTAGCACCCACTACGAATTTTAACCCAGAATGTGTTTATGGGACGGATTTCATGCGAAGAGCATCACGCTCAAGTGGTATGAAAAAGAGTTATACACACGCAGCAACGTAACATAAAGCACACTCAGCCCGTAGCAGGCGATGTCCAAAAGCACTTGCACATAACAAGGCGTAATATATCCTAAACATGCATACTCCGGAAAAATGAACTCACGAGTGCACTTACTCACCTCACTCAGCCTCACCGATATATGGCGTGAGGTGAGGGTGAGTGAATTAGTAAGCCTCGAAAACTGGGTTCGAGGTTGTGTGAGGGGCGTGAGTTCAATGAGTTCATGAGTTAGGAGCGTTTGTCAGTTGGGTAAGGGGTGTGAGGGGCGTGAGCTTGGCGAGGTCGGTGAGTTTGAAGGGCAGTCATCTGCCCTTCATTGGCCTCATTGATCACGTCTGGAGGCCATTCTCCTCCAGACTGTCATGACAAGGCGGAGGTGCTCCAGATGTTCTTCTTGATATTTGCTTGCAATAGGAGATCGGCTAGATAGGCAAAACAAAAGTAGACTCCTCTTGCCACCTGGTCGATAAATAGCTGAAAAGTTGGTGCAGCGTTTCGAAGTCCAAGTGGCATGCGCATAAATTCGTAAAGTTCAAATAAAGTGATAATACCTTTTTGGAATGTCGCTTGGCTCTATGGTGATTTGGTAATAAACCTTGATTAAATCTATTTTAGAGAACATTTTCATTCCATGAAGTTTGAATGAGAGGTCTTGAATGGGAGCACGGGGTATTGATCAGCCGGTGTTACGTTGTTTAAAGCGGGATAATCCCCACAGGGACGCCAGCCACCTGGAGTCACCTTAGGCACCATGTGGAGCGGAGACGACCACAAGCTCCAAGAGGGACGAATGATGCCGAATTCCTACATGTGGTCAAATTCTTGACGGGCGATCTGGGCCCGTTTGCTCGAAGCGCTAACCGCGGCTAAAGTTAGCCGCAGTACCTAGGAGAGGGATTTTGAGATCACTTGACTGGCTCAGTAGGGATGCGGGGAAACATGGCGGTGCCCCAGTGAGTTAGCGCCGGTCGCTTTGGAACTAATATGTCGTTGTTGCTGCAATATCGGGCGCGTTTGTCAGCAACGAATAATGCAGAAGGCTTTCTCTTTGCTTTACTTCACTTAAACCGCAAAGCATGGGCAATGACATCGCCGCATTTTTTTAGATAGTGTTTCGATTCTGGATATTCCTAAGCCTAAATGAACGCGATAATTGTCGGCATGGCAACGTCTTTGGAAAGCGGTTTGTTGATAACAGAGAAAAGCAGACAGCGTCCCGACAGACTTTTTTCTAAATTATCCAAGCATCGCGAGGAGAACGCTGGAAGTATAATGCTACGGTTCACGCGCGCTGGCCTTCCTCTTATAGAAGATTTGAAGTAAAAAATCATAATACGGCTTTAACGAACGCGCGTGCAAAGCAAAATTTGTTTTCTACTTTTTGCTTTAGAACGGTTACTACTGCAGACACCAGCACGTGCGACGCGTGCAACTACAGTCGTAGCATGCACCTCGGTGCTGGGATAATTAAAAAAAAATGGTCTGTTGGGACGCCGTCTGCTTTTGTGTGCTATCAACAATCCGCTTTCCAAAGACGTTGCTATGTCGACAATTATCGCGTTCATTTAGGCTTAGGAGTACCCAGATTCGAAACACTATCTAAAAAATGCGGCGATGTCATGGCCCATGCTTTGCGGTTTAAGTGAGGTAAGGCAAAGCGAAAGCCTCCTGCACCTTTCGCTGCTGACTAACGCGCCCGATATTGCAGCCACAACGACATATTAGTTCCAAAGCGAGCGGCGCTCACTCATTGGGGCACCGCCATGTTTCCCCGCATCCCTACCGAGCCAGTCACGTGATCTCAAAATCCCTCTCCTAGGTACTGCGGCTAACTTTAGCCGCGGTTAGTGCTTCGAGCAAACGGGCCCTGAAGGCGTTCCAGAGCTAATCGAGCGCGAGCTGAAACCGGAGGGCCGGTTGTTACTATGTGGTGTGTGACATTATGTTTTGAAGGCCGCATAATGTTGCTTGGTCTAGCCAGTTCCGAAAAGTCTCTCAATAAGGTGTCATACATAAAAGTGGTGCTTTCGAGTGCAAGTGAGGGTGAGAGAGGGTCTTTTGTGATGGCCCCTGTAATGGTTTGTTGGGCTGTAGTGTCTAAAGACATGAATGACATAAATCAACGCAGACGCCGAAGCTTGAGAGAAAATCTGCTCCCAAGATGGGATGGCGCACATCAGCAATAAGGTTAATCCAACGAAAAATTCACGAAAATCCCAGATTAAGAGTGAGACACTTCTGTCCGTATGTAGCTATGCCGGATCCATTTATCGCCTGTAAGCTCGAAGGGACGTTTTTGAATTTACGCGCTGTGGCAGATGGTGGTACTACGCCTACATATGCTCCCAGTATCAACAAGAAATTTTATTTCTGTGTTGTGTTCCACGACAGAGAAAAGGTTACCCAGAGAAGGAGCGAGCACATGACTTGTCATCTTCAGTAAGTGCTCCTGGGGGTTCCCTGTGACCGGCTGCAGCACGGTGAACACTTGCGCGAACGGTTCCGTAGGTCCGGTTGACCCAGCAAACTTGCGGTGTCCCCCTTATCGGTCTCTTGAAGAATAGCGTCTGATTCGATTTGGTTCAGGCGGGTTAGGACAATTTTGTCGAAGAGAAGCTACCCCAGTCATCGTATAGGCGACGTCGTCGTGCACCCTTCAGAAATCCAAAAGGAGGTGAAACTGTCGCAT